TCGCGAATGATGAGAAGACTCTCTCAGCGTCGCCTTGGTTGCTGTAGCCTGTCATCAGTGCGTTCCATAGCGTAGTGTCCTTGTAGCCACTGAGAGAGTCGAAAAGCTGCTGAGCTATTACCGTGATCCCACACTTGCCGTAGAAGTGAACAAGAGAGACTGCCACCCCGGTGTCGTCCTCCACTCCTGTCCTGCAGGCTATGCCGTGAGCTCTCTTCCCAGATTCCACAGCGACGAGGATGGAACTTGCTTTCACAGCCGCTGTGAGAGTCCGAGCGTCCAGTAACGCGTATCCCTGTGCTTGATCAGCCTCCATGCGACTAAAGAGCTCCAGTGCCAGTCTACTCTCGCCGTTCTCCACATATCCTGCCAGGAGAGCGTTCCAGGATATCACGTTCCTGTCTGGAATGCTGTCAAACACCGCTCGGGCGTCCTCCAGGCTGCCGCACTTGGCATACATGTCGATGAGCGTGTTGGCAACGAATACGTTTGTGTCACAACCAGTGCTTACGCATTGGAGATGGATAGCTCGGCCTTTTTCCAGGCACTCTTTCCTTCTTCCAGCATCTTTTGCTCCTCCACTTTGTTTCTTGGCAGCCGAGCTCGCGCAGGCCATCAGCGCAGCGACGTAGCTTCTCAGGTTCGGAGAGAGTCCTCGAGCCACCATTCTTTCGAACAGCTCCAGTGCTAGCTCTGGCTCGCCATTGATCTCGCAGCCCAGCACCATAGCAGTAAGTGACACTACGTCGTGCCGGAGCATCCTGCTGAAAGCCATCCAGGCGTCTTCCAGGCTTCCACACTTGGAGTACATGTCGATCAACGAGCTAGCCACGAATATATCCTTCTGATAGCCATTTCTCGCCGCTAGCGAGTGAAGTGCCATGCCTCTCTCGAGGTACTCCATCTTCACGAGCTTGCCATCAACTTCCCTGCCATCTTCTCTCGCCGACAGATTCGAGCACGCCCTCAGTGCAGCTACACAAGCCTGAGCATCTGGAGCCACCCCTCGGGACTGCATGGCTTGAAACAAAACAAGCGCCATCTCGCTGTCACCCGAGTCTGCGTAGCCGACCATCAACGTAGTCCATGTCACGACGTCAGGCGATTCTATTCGATCAAACACCCTCCGAGCATCCACCATCGCCCCGCATTTCGAGTACAGTTCAACCAGGCTGCTGGCCACGTAGAGGTTGGAGACCAAGTTGCTCGCTGCTGCCGAGGAACTGATAGACACCCCTTTCTCCAACCAAGTCTGCTTTCCTTGGCCGTCTTCTTTTTCTGCCATTGTAGCACACGCCGCAAGTGCCGCCACGAAACTTCTTGCGTTGGGCTGGCAGGACGTCTGCATTCGCGCAAACTGCTCCAGAGCTAGCTCGGCCTGTCCGTTCGAGATGTGTCCCATCATCAAGGCGTTCCAGGATACCACGTCGCGGTGAGGCATGCCCTCGAAAACCATGCAGGCATTCGCCATGCTGCCGCATTTTGCGTACATGGTCACCAAGGCAGTTGCGAGAAAGACGTCGGTGTTGTCAGCATTTGTATTGGAGTGGATTCTCTTACCGATCTCGCAATCTCTCAAGACCGTGCACGACTTCAACGCAGCAGAGAAAGAGGGTTCGATGTCATGCTCTCGAAGACTGAGGGAAAACAAACAGTGAGTTAGAGACCATGAAATAAGGTGAACTTTAGAGCACAAACCATACGAAGGATCCGAATAGCGGTTGGTGACGACCCACTGAAGAAACAAGAACCCTCGAGCGCCAACAACTGGAAAACATAAAACACGATGAATGTGTTACAAGACCTACCTTGAGAGCATATCTTGAAAGGCAGAGTCGTTGATCATGCTTGACACGAGCAAACCTTTATCATCTTTTGCAAAACTGCCTCTGTTTGTATCCTCTTGCATTCCTCCAATACCCGAGCTTGCTCCTCCCACATTCCTAAGCTCGCAAAGAGATTTCCCATCAGCGTATAAGCGGAGTAAGTTCTCTCGTCCAGCCCCACAATCGTTTCAAAAGCCAGCCTTCCCAGCTCTAGATTCCCCCACTTTCCACACGCGCCCAGGAACGCTGTCCATGCTACTACGTTCGATGGTATATTGCTCTTCAGCACCACAATGGCCTCATCCAGATAATTGGCACGTCCCAGAAGATCCACCATGCAGGCGTAATGCACGGCATCCACAGTGATGTCCCGGTCTGCTCGCATTGCCTCGAAGTACGTCTTTCCCTTCTCGACAAGCCCAGTATGACTGCAAGCTGCTAGAACTGAGAGATACGTGATTCTGTCTCCTTTCATCCCTTGTCTCTGCATTTCTTCAAACAGTTCAATCGTCTTCTGTGCGTCCCCTTGACGACTGTATCCCGCTATCAGAGACGTCCATGCCGAAACACTTCTCGGGTCTGTGACTGCTTCAAACAGCTGTTGAGAGACTGAGATCCTGCCGCACCTGCCGTAGAAATCGACCAGCGAGTTGGCCACCAAAACGTTGTCCTCTAGTCCCCACCTACAGATGTCAGCTTGAATTTGCTTTCCAGTTTGCAGTGCCACCACACAACCACAGGCCGAAAGAGCCGCAACTAGCGTCCGAGAATCCGGAAGAAAACCACTTTGCTGTTGCATGCTGGTGAAGAGATCTAAAGCCAGCTGTCCCTCGCTGTTTTCAACGAGTGCTGACATGAGAGCGTTCCAGGACACCACGTCGTGATGAAGCATCCGGTCAAATGCGGCTCGGCAATCCAGCAAGCTTCCGCATTTTGCGTACACGTCCACCAACGTGTTGGCCACGAACATATCGCCCAGTTTTCCTGTTTTACCAGCTTCGGAGTGCACGGCCATAACCTTTTCCAAGCACTCCACCTTCACCACTTTGCCACTGACGTGCTTGCCTTCGTCTCGTTCAGCTAGATTACCGCATGCCGTCAGAACAGCAACAAAGCTCTGCGAGTCTGGCGGACATCCCTGGCTTCTCATCTTGGTAAACAGCTCGAAAACTAGCTCCGCTTCACCATTACGAACGTATCCCAGCATGAGCGAGTTCCACAAAACCACATCCCGATGAAGCACTTTTTCAAACACTGTCCGGGCATTGTCCATGCTCCCGGAGTTCGCGTACATGTCCACCAGCGCCGTAGCCACAAAAATGTCTGCGTCCCACCTGTTCCTTGCGGCTAGCGAGTGAATGTCCATGCCTCTTTTCAAAGCCCCGCTCTTGACTTTGGCAAGCTTGTCACCTTCTTCTTGCTCAGCCAAGCTTGTACAGGACATCAACGCCGCAACGAAACTTCTGCCATCGGGGACGCAACCTCCAGAGACCATGCTCTCAAACAAGGAAAACGCCACCTCGGCCTCGCCACATTCCACATAGCCCAGCATGAGAGCAGTCCAAGAGACCACGTCCCGCTCAGGCATCCTGTCAAAAACCTTGTGAGCATCAGCCAGGCTTCCACATTTTGCATACATACCAATTAAGCTGTTGCCGACGAAAGTATCACTTTGAAAACCGCCCTTGGTGGCGTCCAGATGGATCTTCTTCCCAACTTCTAGAGTCACCTCTTTCAAATACTGTCCGGCAACGAGCTTCGCCTCTTCTTTCTGTGCTACCCCAGCACAGGCTGCGAGGACTGCAACGTAAGTGCGTGAATTCGGCGAACAGCCCTCCGACTGCATGGAGTAAAACATCTCTAGAGCCAGCTCCTCCTCCCCGTTTTCAGCACAGCCGAGTATGAGAGAGGTCCAGCATACGACGTCGCGGCGAGCCATTCCCCTGAAAACCGACGTAGCATCGGCCAAGCTGCCGCCCTTGCAGTACATATCGACGAGAGTGCTCGCCACAAAGATATCCTTGTCCAATCCACGTTTTGCAGCCTGAGAGTGAATAGCTGAGCCCTTCCTTAAGCTTCCGAGCTTGAGAACTCTGCCGTCAACCAGCTCGCCCGGCTCCGAAGACGCCAAAGTAGCACAAGCCTTGAGCGCAGCGACGAAAGTCCGAGAGTTTGGTACGCATCCCCGAGAAACCATTTGTGAGAACATCTCCAAAGCCAAGTTCCCGTCACCAGTCTCCGCGTATCCCATGATCAAAGTTGTCCACGACACGACGTTGGGACTTCGAATCTTCTCAAACACCGCTCGAGCATCCACCAGGCTCCCACACTTGGCGTAGAGACTGATCAGGATGTTCTCCACGAACTCGTCGGACTCGTAGCCATACTTGGCAACCCGGTGATGGAGCTCCGTCCCTTCCCCCAAGCATCCGAGCTTGACGACCTTGCCGCAAACTTCCTGTCCCACTTCCTTCTCGGCCAAGTTGACACAGGCCATCAGTCCAGCCACGAAACTCCGGTCGTTTGGACAGCAGCCACTTCTTTCCATTCCCCTGAGCAGCTCCAAAGCCAAATCCTCCTGGCCATTCACTGCGTAACCGAGCAGTAGCGCGTTCCAGGACACCACGTCTCGAGCCGGCATCTCATCGAACACCTTGCGAGCGTCGGCCATTTTCCCACACTTAGCATACATGTCCACCACCGCGGTCGCGACGAAAGCATCTGCAAAGATCCCCGCGCTCTCACGGGCGTCAGTATGGATTCTCTGGCCTGCTTCCAAGTACCTCAAGCTCCCGCACGCCTTGAGAGCCGCAAGAACGCCGCTCGACAGCCATGCCTCCAATTTGGAAATCTTCTCCACGGCTCCCGCTCGCTGCTTCACGAACTACATCAAAGATTAAAGATCGATCAATCCTGCTGGATTGCACGAAGAAATGCCTCACATTCTTGAGCGACGATCGAGTCCGATCGCAGAGCCGCATCATAATCCATTGCCAGCGAGCCGAAATACTCGCTCAAAGCTCTCGACGAATGCCGGTACGATGAAACCTAATCACATTTTAGAGCTCCAATCGCAGCAACCTGATCGTCCATCGCCTGATCGTGATCGTATCGCGAGCCTAGAACCCTAGAAGCTCTGCTAGAGCCCTAAATATTCGTACGAGAGGTCCGTACTAAAAGAGAATCTAAGTGTGCCGGAGAATCGAACCGCCGGCCTCTAGCTCCACGAGAAAAGCTCTCTTTTGCGCTCTCCCAAACCCTAGGAGGAGCGCGCACGGCGAGGAACAGGTGAGTGCTCGTGGATTGGATCTATCCTCTCGGCGCTGAAATTTCTTGTGACCGCTTGCCGGCGCGCTTGAAATCTCTCCCAAATCCCTCGAGATCCTCTCTCACTCCCGCCCTGTCCAATCCAGGAATGACGAGCCCGCGGGAGGAGAGCGTCTACATGGCCAAGCTCGCCGAGCAGGCCGAGCGCTACGACGAAATGGTGGAGTTCATGAAGAATGTCGTCAAGGCCGTGGATGTGGAGGAGCTCACAGTCGAGGAGCGCAATCTCCTGTCGGTGGCGTACAAGAACGTCATCGGCGCTCGCAGGGCTTCCTGGCGGATAATCTCCTCCATCGAGCAGAAGGAGGAGAGCAAAGGCAATGAGGATCATGTGTCCATGATCAAGGAGTACCGCGCTAAGGTGGAGGCGGAGCTTAGCACTATCTGCGACAGCATTCTCAAGCTCCTGGATAGCCATCTCATCTCCTCTTCCGCGAGTGGCGAGTCCAAGGTTTTCTACTTGAAGATGAAGGGCGACTATCACCGATACTTGGCCGAGTTTAAGACCGGTGCCGAGAGGAAAGAGGCTGCCGAGAACACTCTCCTCGCGTACAAATCCGCGCAGGTAAGCAAAGGCCAGAGTGGTGGAGCTCTCTTTTCCTTTGCAAAGCTTCCTTTTTTTTATTGATTCTTTTCGTTTGTTTTCGAAAGTTCTTGGTTTGCTCACTCGAAGCTGTGCTTTGCAGGACATCGCTCTTGCGCAGCTGCCTCCTACGCACCCGATTCGACTTGGACTCGCTCTCAATTTTTCGGTCTTTTACTACGAGATTTTAAATTCCCCGGATCGTGCTTGTACTCTTGCCAAACAGGTCTGTGGGTGTGTCGTGTTTCGTTGCGTTTTTTTTTCTTTCCACTCACCTCACTCACTGTTTATCCATTTCCAGGCATTTGACGAGGCAATTGCCGAGCTGGACACTTTGGGAGAGGAATCTTACAAGGATAGTACTCTGATTATGCAGCTGCTGCGCGATAATCTAACGCTGTGGACCTCAGACATGCAGGTAACTGCCGAGTTTCTTTTGGTTCTTTTCTCGTGGCATTGTTTACTCAGCGAGATCTTTTGTTGCCTTGCTGCAGGAGGAAGGTGCCGGCGAGGGAAAGGACGAAAAGCCGTGAGTAAAATAATACGTTCGAATTTCGTTTTCTATGCTGCTAGCTAGCTGTTAGACACCTCTCTCTTTCCTGCCTTGGTACTGTTGATTTTTTTTGGTTCCTGAATACATTATTTGGCTTGCACTAACTCCATCTCTATGTTGCTTGTCTAGAACTTGTGGTTGATTGAGCCCTGGAACTCCACTATACCTCTTTTTTGATTCTCTATGGACATTTCAAGCCTCCCCTGTGGTTGGTCATGGTTGCATAGCAGGGGCATGTCTCTCTGTTGCCATAGGTTCCAGGAGGAACACAGTGGCACTTTGCACAGCAGATGTTACAGCACTTGAGGCATCTCTTTGGTCTGCCTGCTTTGGAGCACCTCCTGTTGCATTCTTTGGAACAGTCTGTTTTGTTTTGTTGTGGATCACAGGACAGGGAAATTGAGACATCTCATCAGCACAGCCAAGTGAAGGAAGCTTTATAAACACTTTACCAATTGGTGCTGGTGAGGAGGGTCCTGGAGCAGGGGTAGAGGTGGATGAAGTCACTTCCACCTGGTAAACAAAACAAGTTTATTGTGTGTTTTTTTTCTTCTTTTGCATTATTTTGGTACTCACTGGTGGTATGTAGATAGCTGGTAGGAGCTCATCCACATCATGTTGTGACTCCAAACTGCTGTCTACCTGGAACCAAAATGGTGTTGCTAACAGAGTAAGATGAAATCACCTCAACAGAGATCCATAACAGGAATGCCAGAAAGATCAGTGAAGAAATCCTCATGTCCATGCTTCTTTGATCATGGAGGGGAGAGTGTGTTTTTTATTCCCAGCACAAAACTACAAACTATGTTGGTAAGTCCACCATGATAACGAGATTTACAATTCTGAGCCGGCCGACAAAAGATCACTTTTAACTTTACTACCTGGAAACAATCTTGACTTTGGAACGACTATGAAATGAGTTGACCAAGTTGACCAACAATCGAACAAGTAGGGTTTTAGCGTTCTGTTCTAGGAGGAATGGTACAGTGCGCTTTTGTGTCCGGCATTTTTTTCTCCTTTTCTTCTTTTTGTGTAGGCCCTTGTGCTGTATGATCGCGAGGAGGCGGAGCAAGAAATGGAGGGGGGCGATGGAAAAATGGAGGCCGAACTTTGCATCAGTCTGAGCACCAGCTGCTCGTCCGAAGCTCCTTCTTCGCCCAGTTCCTCCTCGACTTGCAGCGTCGATCGAGTTGCCGTCCGCAGAGCTCTCCAACATTTTGAGATGCTGCGCTCCGCGGACAAGGCAGGCCGTGCGGACCTCAACGCCGGCAAAGCCATGCGTCAACAGGCAAGCATCTCTCCACTTTCTTTCCTTCTCTCGCTGGGTTCGCTTTTGGGACTTTTCGTTTCTTGGTTCGATGGTTTTGTTCCTTTTGCTTCTGTGCTCTGTCTCTTTATTTCAACCTATGAGTTCTTGGACTTCTCAAAGATCGGATCTTGGGTCTTCCTTTAGAAACTCTTTATAAGTTCGTGTATGATCTATTTTGCAGGGTATGTGGCTAAACCGTGTAAAATACTTTGGCCACGTCCCGGGTGTGGAAGTTGGCGACGTCTTCCACTTCCGCGTTGAGCTTTGCATCGTGGGGCTCCACGGCCACATCCAAGGCGGCATCTCGTGGATTGGTGGCGACGACAACAAGTGGGGCGAGCCAGTCGCAAACAGCATCGTTCTCTCTGGTGGCTACGAAGACGACGACTCGGGCGAGCGCTTTGTCTACCACGGTGCTGGGGGCAATCACCAAAACACCGCCCGGCCCGGGTGTTATGCCCAGGACCAGAGCCTGGATCGGGGAAATCTTGCTCTCGCCAACGCTTTTCTCTTCCAGGTTCCAATCCGGGTGATTCGGGGAATCGAGTCTGGGTTCAAGAAGAAGAGCTATCGCTACGATGGTCTGTTTAGAGTGACTCGCTACTGGGACGAGGTTGATGGAGATGGATGGACGGTTTACAAGTTCCTGGTGGAGCGGAAGGGGATGAGTTTCGACAAGAACGAAGTGGCGAAGTAAGTTGGTTTTGTTTTGGTGTTCCTTGCTTGATCTTTTCATGCCTCTCAGGAATCTGAGGAAGTATCGCACTAGCTAGGAAATTGAACAAAAACCCATCCCGGAAGTATCTCAAAGTTTTGCTCTTCGTAAACACAAGTGATCACGATTTCGCAAAAGCACATTGTGTAAGTTTTGCATCCACTCCAACAGCAGCATTGCTGTGAAGTTTGCAATCTCCAAGAAAAACTCTCCAAGCAACCAATGATCTCACAAAAAACTTTTAACTTGCCAACATGTCCATGAGTTGAGTTTCATGCTCCACAAATGTTCAAAGCTAGAGCCGACCTCCAGCTTAATGGAAAATTACCTGCAGAAACAAAGGATACGTCTGCAAACAGCTAACCTGAGAAATAGTTCCAGATCCTAATTTGTTCTGGAAGTGGTGATCTAGGAAAACACTAGATAGATCGAACCTTTCTGAAGTTCGTCATTCTTTCGATTTGATTTACTTTTTTTTCCCGCTCTTGTGCACGAACAGGATGAATGTCACAAGCGACCCCAGCAAGTAGCCACCGGTTGCTCCATAAGTGCATGAGATCGGCCATTGCTGAAAAAGAGCGAGTAGAAAACTACAGTGGAAAAAAGAGAGGGATGTATCGGACCTGCCATTCGCGTTCCCAGTCCAGGGGCATTGGCCAGGCACCAATCCAGGCTCCCACAGCAGCACCATGAGCGGGCACGCAAACTAGCAGCTCCAGAGAACCGCTTGGCCTGCAAAGTCGAGAGCAAACTTTACTTGAGAAGCTGACAAGAGAGAAGTATTCGACGAAGCTTGAACCTCGTGAACGCGAAAACTTGTTGCCAGCGTCGCCATGACGGGCCTAGAACCATGCCAGCGGGAGCGATCTGCGTTGCAAAAGCGGCATAAGAAACTAGAGGAATCAAACAAAAAAACACGAGAGACCATCAAAGTTGACATGAAAAAGCTCCAATAGAAGGTCGGCCAGAAAAACCTGCAGGAAACCAGCAAATACAAACTGCTGTTTTTAATTCTTTTTTCTTCACTGACTCGTTTCCAAACGGTGCACCCAGTGTTATGGCGAAGAATGCAATGGCAGAAGCTCCTGGGGTGGAAGATCCATTCAGTCCTAGAAACCAGCAAAAGAAATCACAAAACTCACCTAAAGGAATGCAGAGAAGGCCTCGAATGAGCGCTTGCCAAGCCTGACACGAGAAGAGCAAGTGAAAGAAAATCCAAGACGTCAAAAAGAGAGAGAGAGAAAAAAACTCTTACCGGACAATCGCAAACAATGGTGCTAAAGAGAAGAACCTGGAGGAGGATGAGCTGAGAGAGGAAAAAACTGTCAATCCTCGCGCACGCTTTGATGGATCAGTCGATCTCACCGAATAGAAGCGACCTATGAACGCTGGAGAATGCAGCAATGCCACCGCCGCTCCAACAGCCAGCGCGCTGGACCCTGCCAGCACCGATCTAACCCCCATAAAAGAGTTGAACTAGGGCTTTTGACCGACTGACATCACATTGCGAAAACTCAGATGAAAAAACTACATATTAATAGAATAGAGTAATTTAAAGTTTAAGAATTAGGTTTCTTCGAGTGAAGCAACTTTCACACTTGCGATTTCTCCCTTGACACCTTGTTGGTTCCTGGATGTCTTCGTCGTCGAAGGAACCGGAAGGAACTCCTTCCTCCTCGAGTCCTCCGGCCGCTTCCATGCTGAAGCCGCACTTTGCCTCCGATGGACTCCCTTTCACGAACAGCAGCCAGTACAGCGTGACACAGCCAACTCCCACTGCAAGTTCTTGGTAAGTAATTTTGTAGATACATATGATTGAATGTCTAATCATTTGTTTGTAGCGAAATCGAAACTACTCCATTTGATCCTCATGAAGAATTCGAGGATGCTGTTTTCGAACAATCAGAGTAAGTTTTTTCGTTACTATATGCCATTGTAATTTACTATTAGTTTTTACAGGGAACCGTCCAAAATTGTTCTGCCCAATAAGAAAGCGATGGACGAGGAAACTTTGTTGGTGGAAATGTACAAGAGCATGAAGGAGATGAGACAGGACGTGCAAGAGCTGGTAAAGGAGATGAGACAGGGCATACAAGAGCTGAAAACGGGAGTACAAGAACTGAAAACGGGCGTACAAGAGCTGAGAAATGACGTCAAGGGCATCCTTAATAAACTATACGTCTTGCGGCTCGACGTCTCTATGGTCTGTGAGCTAGGGGCGCGAACTCTCCTCAAAGCATTTGTCGAAAACAAGTACGGTGCATCGTTGGAAGTGCCTTTTGCAAGGCGGCTATCATATACTCCAATTCGGAAATTGGAGGAGATGGTAAGCTTGTGTTTGTATTCCGAAGAGAAAGAGAGGACTCCGCGGTACGCTGAAATCGATTGTTATGCTGGCTTTAAAGTGAATGGGTAAGATATTCTGATTAAAGCTTTTAGTTACTAACACATCTATGCAGAGGAGTGTTTGTGGCAGAGGTTACGAGATTTCCAGTATGTAGGAAAGGCTCAAAGTATGTTCATCCAACTAAGCCTACGTGGGATGAAAGCACAAAGCTACTTTACAAGGTAGTTTTAATATCCTAGTTAGAAAGGAAGTGAAGCTTGGAATGTTTTTTTTTTTCTAGATGATACAATTGGAGAGAGCTATTCGCGCAACGGAAGAACATGGCCACAAGGTGAAGGGAGCTGCACTGGCAGCAATCAAGTTCCGGAAGCTCCAGGACGAAAAGGATGGGAGGGACTTGATGGAAGCTGTGTTGAAACATTGGAGCTTCAACTCAAGGTTGCAGCAGCTCTTGAATGACGGTGATTTGCATGTTGTAGCTTTGTGACAAGGAAAGCCTCTTAAAAGAAATTCTCGTGGAGCTTGGTTTACCTTTTTAGTAAACCAAGGAACTTTAAATGGAACGCTTGATTTTCTATTGCAATAAGCAATGGAGAACTGTTAATAGGAGCTCGAAGCGAAAGAGAAAGGATAACATACGATTTGTATCACAGCCCACAGGTCATAGTCTCAAAGTTTGTTTTTTTTCTTTTCTGTTCTTAGCAATGACAAGTATAAGAGTGCGTTGTGGTTAACAGCAGTGATGTCCATTCCAGTGGCAATGGGGCCAAATTGGGAGAGTATGGCCGCAGGTTTTAGATTTTGATCCATTTGCATTGGATTGGAGACAGCATTGGGGCCCTCTGGAAGGCGGGAGAGATGCTGTTCGGCGATTTCAAAGGAAATCCATGGATGATTCGAGGTGGAAGCCGCAGCCGCGCACAAAAAGGATGTGGCGCCGTCGCAACAGGAGATCGATCCCGAGAATCGAGCTAGAGTTTCTTCGATGAGCTCGCAAGAAATCTCCGACGCTCACAGGATAAAGCCATGCTACTCCAAAAGACGCGAAGATGCAAATTCCTGTTCGAGCGAACGAGCAAGAACAGAGTGTGAAAGTGGTGGCCGGAGGCATGACGAGCGCATGGACCGAGATATTTTGGCTTGGATGAGACACAGACATGCAAGACGATTCCGGTAAGTTTCTTTTTCCCTTTTTAGTTTTCTTGGAGATGACAATACTGCATACAAGATATTTCTAGCCTTGCGCAGCCGAAGGAGATCCTTCTGCACTGGGCTACACCATCTAGGAGGCCGCATTACTTTCACCAAGCACGGTAGGCTGGCACCACTTTCTCAAATGCTGCTAGTGGCCTCCAAGACGGAAGAAATGACTTGCAACCAGAACTCATTGAGGCAGGCGACGGACTACCCTCAAAGCGTAAGTACATATGCTCTTTCGTTTGTTTCTTCTATTGACATTCCTGGCTTGCAGACACCCGCGACATACAATCACTTCGGATCATTTGCCTCTTGGACCCGGACATCCTGCTAGCTACAGAATGATAACTTTTTTGAACTTCTGCGAGGTATTGAGTTGCTTCCGGTACAGTTAATGATACTCTTTTGGTCGCAGAGGTCCGGACCATTGTGGTGGACTGCTCCTGTGTTCCGCAAGCGCAGAAATCATGAAGACGACGGCCTGACGAGGAGATGTGCGCTAGCTGCGCCTGACCCCGCTCTAGGTAAGCCACGCAAATGTTTCTGTAAGTGACGGGTACATTATATCATGGTTTAAAATTTATTCTCAAATTTATATTTCTAATTGTAATTCATTTTACTATATCAAACTTAAGAAATTGAAAGTTTATTATTTTTAAAGTTTAAGGAAAAAAATATATCATAGTTGTTTTAGATAATTACCTGTGGGAATAAATTTTTTATGGATCGAAACAAATGGATTCTTTGGCTTGAATCTAGCAAGACAGTGACAATAGCTAGGAAAATCCACGCCCACATCAGCAGTGCAATTCACCCCACAGATGTTTTCCTTCACAACAAGCTCATTGAGATGTATGGTAAATGTGGAGACACACTCCAAGCTCGTAAAGTTTTTGATGGTATTTCAACAAAAGACGCCCACTCGTGGGTGTTCATGCTCTCTGCCTATGCAAGAAATGGCCAAATGCAAGAGGCGGAGAGTATTTTTGCTTCCATGCCAAGTAAAAATTCGGAATCTCAGAATGCCATGCTGGCTGCCTATGCACACAATGAAAAGCTTTCGGATGCAAAAAGGATCTTTGATTCTCTTATGGAAAAGACAATTGTTTCATGGAATGCAATGATCTCTGCTTATGCCCAAAACGGGCATTTGGATTGTGCCAAGGCTACATTTGATTCTATGCCAGAACGAAACTTGATTTCTTGGAATTCGCTCTTGTCTGGCTACGCTCACATCCGTAATCTGGACTGCAGTGTTTGGATTTACAATGAGATGCCGGAGTGGAATATAGTGTCTACAACTACTATGCTCGTCGCAACTGCCCAAACCGGGAATTTGATCGAATCAAAGCGACTGTTTGTATCAATGTTAGAAAGGAACTTGGTGGCGTACAATGCAATGTTGTTCGTTCACGTTTTGAGAAATCAGCTCAAAGCTGCAAAGTCTGTATACGAAGAAATGCCTGAGCACGACATGGCATCGTGGACCAGCATCATGTCTGCCTATTCCCAACGAGGGCATCTGGAGGATGCCAAATGCAGCTTTGACACGATGCGTGAGAGGAACCTTGTGTGCTGGAATGCGATGCTATCAACGTATGCCCAGAACGAGCGTGTGGAGGAGGCGGCGAATATCCTCTCGGACATGCCCGAGCACGACCTCGTCTCGTGGAACACGATGCTGGCGGCTTGGGTGGCGGCCGGTCGCATTGACCGTGCCATTGACCTCTTCAGTCAAATGCCCGCGAGGGACATTGTCTCGTGGAACTCGATCCTGTGCGTTGACATTATGACCGATGGCGGCGGTGAGTTGACTTTTGCTCGACGGAGGTTCCATAGGATCCCGGAGGAGAACTTGGTATCCTCCTCAACTATGCTCACAGCATATGCCCAGAATGGGCATCTTGACCGTGCCTTTGACCTCTTCCAGTCAATGTCGTGGACCGGTATCTCTCCCGACGCCATCTGTTTCATACCCCTTCTCATCTCGTGCAGCAACGGGGGAACGATGAGCTCGGGGCAGCGCTGCTTTGTGTCGATGCGCGAGGATTTTCACACAGAGCCGATCAAGCAGCATTTCTGCTGCATGATCGATCTGCTGGGGAGGGAGGGCGCGATTGAAGATGCCTGGGACTTGATCACGAGCATGCCTTTCGTGCCAAATGCTCTCCAGTGGAGATGCCTGTTGAGTGCTTGCCGAAGCCACAAGCGTCACTTGCATGGAACCGCTGCTGCCATCTCGACCGTCGATCTCGAGCCCACTGCAGCGTCATCATATGTTCTTTTGGCTAACATGCACAGATCTCCAAGTAAAGCCACATTAAAATCTTCCCAGAAATCTGTATAGAATACCAACTTAGTAATCAAAGATACCGTGTAAAGGTTGGCATCATGTTCATCTTTAATCGAACTATACATACTATAAAAGTTGCAAGTACCTTCGTTCAAAATTTTAACTTTGCACACACAAACCAAACACTTAATCATAGCCAGAACTTTAGGCCTTGAACAGGAAAGAAAGATCCATGATCAGAGTTCTTGAGAGTTTTCTCCCAGCTATGATGGATATGAATGTAACGCCTTAAAATCCTTCCAATCGATCCATCTTATCTTGCGATCTATCACTTCTTCGATTTGCTGTTCACCTCGAAGACGTACTTGACCAGCGAATCCTTGATGCCCAGCAGCTGCGGGAATTCGGAGCTCAACTTCTTGGTGTCCAGCTCGTTGTTGCTCCTCGGCGCCACAATCACCTTGGCTTGCTCCTCGAGGCTAAAGTTCTTCCACTTGAAGCTCGGATCCACGTACTGGCGATACATCTCCAATATCTCGTTGTGGCTCACCACCCCTGGATTGGTGAAGTTCCATATCCCCGTGAGGTTGCGCTTAGCCATCTCGATCGAGATTGGCAGCAGCTCGTCCAGCACCGTCATGGAATTCGGGATGTTCACCACTTTCTCGTAGCGCGTGATCTTGGTGATGAAGTTGCGAGGATTGGCGAGGTCGCTGGAGATTGGCATTCGCACGCGAAGTGTACAGACGTTCTCGTAGTTCTTGAGGAGCTCCTCTACCTGGAAAAAAGAAAGAATTGTCAGATCATAGATCGTGAAAACGGATGCTCGAGTATGATCGCTTAAAATGCTTCACTAAATTCTAGATTTTGTGGAAGCCCAATAGATTCTTCCGTTGGACTTCTCTAAGATTCGTTGCCTGGGAGCTAGATCTGGATGGAATGCTATGGAAAACCCTAGCGGCAGCCAGCAATGCAAGATCCAAAGAAAGAATTCCACTCACCATGGCTTTGGTCTTGGAGTAGAAGGATCCCACGAAATTTGGGGCGTCCTCCTCGGTGAATCCCACGCCGCTGTCGATCTGGTGGCCTCCATCGTACTCGAAGATGCATCCAGTGGCGAAATTCACGAGCAAGAGGCCATGGCCGCGGCACACATCCGCGAGATTGAGCGTGCCGACGACATTGGCGCGGATCGTCTCCACCCTGTGATCCTCGCACCAATCCACGTTGGGGCGGCCGGTGACGCCCGCGGCATTCATCACATGCGAGGGCTTGGCCGCCGCAATGTCGGCCTCCAATCCAGCCCTATCCTCGAGCCTGCCCGATCCATACACGAAATCGATGCCCTGCTCGCGGCAGAGCTTCCCCAGGAGGCCGCCGATCCACCCAGTGCGGCCGTAGATCAAGAATTTCAAGGCGCCGCCGCCGCTGGATCCATTGCTGGAATTGCCGGCGCCGCTGCTGAGAGGAACAACCATGGCGCCGGCGAGCCGCGAGGCGATGATCGCTCGCGCTCTCCCGGAGATCTAATCGCTTGAGCTCTCGGAGGAGAATGGAATGTGATGAGATCTTTGCCCAAGAAAAGGAAAAGAGACCAACATGCGAATATGCTTGGGTTGACCGTTGACATGGATCTTTTTCTTAAGTTTAGGGTTCTTCACTTCCCGCGCTAAAAGTTTAGGGTTCTTCGAGGTGTCCAGTGCTTTCGTTTGCACCCCAGAGGATGGCTTCTTCCCCAATTTTCCAGTAGGCCGTGGAGCTCTCTCAGGCCAAGGTGCTGCGAATTCCATCTGGGCTCTTCAGCGAGAGAGAGAAGACAGCTCTGTGGATTCACCCAAATTACGAGCTCCTGGAGGATTTCATTGAGACTGCCGAGTGAAGGAACGTCCATGTTGTTGCCACTCCCGGGGTGGGAAACTCCTACTTTGGGCATTGGTGGCTCTTTCGGCAGGCATAGCGCAAGAACAAGGTGGTCAAGAAAGCGGATGGTGTTAACTGGTTCTACTACTTCGATTTCTCGCTGGAGAAGCCTCTGGTTTGGATTTCCAATTGCTACGAGGGCTTGCCGAGATGGGACATGAGAAAAGTCTGGCTGATCGTCGATGGAGCATTGAGAAAGCAACCACATCCAGGCAGGAGTCTTCCGCTGGCGCTTCGCGTACTATAGCTTCGCGAACCATTTGGAAGCTTGGTCTTTGGAGGAACTGGAGCAGTGCAACCGAGCTTTGGGATGAAGTGAGAGCTCGATTCAAAGTCTGTGGCAACTAGACAAACACTATGGCTTGACCCCAAGCCTCATCCTAAACATCTTAGGTAAAGTCCATGTGCACTTGAATGTTACTGCGCATCAATTACATCATCTGGGTCATGCAGAACTTGGCTACCCCATCACAGAGATCTCTATCCAACCTGCAATGTTCACTATCACCTACATTACAATTAAATCCTGATTTCAAACTAAAACCTTCGTTCATAACTATCCATCCTGGCTACAATAGCTTTCATTTCACTTGCTTCTTTCATGTCCAATTTGAGGTGTGTATTTAATATAAATAGAGCTTCTCTTGGAAATTCTTCTCCCATTAGTTTCTCTTCCATCTTGAGACACATCTCCTTATCAGCTTCCTCCGCCTCGAAAAGCAACATCACTCTAATATTACACTGATCAAAAGTTAGATCCGTTCTGGATCTAACATGGAATTGTCCAGGTGAATTGCTGCTTTAGAATTCCTAAGGCTTTATAATCCGGTCTGAAGTCGTGTCCCCATTGACAGCAAAGAACCAAACCAGAAGAGACTGAATATAACTGCTGTACACATTCCCCGTATTGCCCTTCGATAGCAAGGCATTCACAGACACATTTGTAACCTTTCTTCCTCACGATGTCCAATCTTTTCAATGAGCTGTTCAAATGACTAAGTTTATCATGTTATAGGGATAACTAAGCATATCTTCCAAGACTTTCTTCCTCACATGAGCTGTTTAAATGACTAAGTCTATCATATTATAAGAATAACTAAGCATATCTTCAAGACTTTCTTCCTCACGATGTCCATCTTTTAGCTGTTCAAGTGACAAGTGTAACGTGTTATAGGGATAGCTCATCTTCAAACGTGTTTTGATCGCAAGTCTCATCAATTACCTCGTCTGGGAAGAAATAATGTTTCATGGCAAGTCTCACAGAAATCTCTACTCAACTCTGCAGTGTTCACCAGTCACATACAAAACCAGATCTCATCCTCTTCTTGCTAAACCCTAGAACCTGCCAACTTTATCCTGATTTGACGTTGGAAAGTAGGATATGAAATCCCGACGATTCGCAATGCTGGACCTGTTCTTGAGCTCTCTCGATCGCTCCAGCTTCGTCCGGATGGACGCGACAACCTCCCAGGAAGCTCGTCCATGCCACTTCCCCATGGGATCGATCATCAGCGGTGATGAGATTCTCGGCCTCTTTCAACCGCCCAGCTATTCCAAGAAGATCCACGACGCAAGCGCGGTGTTCTTGCCCTGGCTGGATCCCATAATCCGCCTCCATCGCTCCCACGCAGCGCAGCGCCTCCTCGTCCAGGAATCCAGAGTGCCGGCACGCAGAGAGAATGCTCAAGAAAGTTATAGCGTTTGGATCGACGCCTTCTTGCTGCATCCGGCGGAAGAGAGCGAGGGATTCTTCGCCGCGGCCGTGGTGGGCGCACGATTCTATCATGGAGCTCCATGAGATCACGTCCCTGTGCTGGCCGCTGCTCGAGAAGATCGACCTGGCCTCCTGGAGACCACCGCATTGAGAATATTTCGCGAGCAGAGCGTTCTTGATCTCCAAGAAGGATGAAAAGCCCGATCCAACAATCCTGGAGTGGATTGCCCGGACGCTACTCAAGGAATTGGAGCAGGCATTCACGACCGCGACGAATGTGACCCTGTCTGGCTTCACACCTTCCAAATCCATCCTGCGCAAGAGCTGAAACGCCTCCTCCTCGCGATCTTCCAGCGCCGTGATGAGCGTCGTCCAGGAAACGGCATCTGGAGCCAGACCCCCCTCCCGGCGCATCATCTCGAAGAGCCGGAGCGCAGCACCGATTCTTCTACCCTGCGCTAGCGCCGCGATCGTCGCGTTCCACAAGATTAGGGTTCTTGGGATTCTCACGTGCTGGAAGACGCTACAGGCTTCTTGAATTTTCCCGCTCTTTGCAAGCATTTCGATCAGCGCCACGGCGAGGATCTCATTCTCTCGATCCAGCTCCAGGCAACGGATCTGGCCAAGAATGCTCCATCCCTGCGCGAAATCGCCGATCGCCGTGCACGCGCCAATCGCAGTGCTGAAGCTAAATCCATCCGGCCTCACTCCCATCTGATGCATCCTCCAGAAAATCTCCAAGCCCCTTCTCCCCTCCCCATTCCAAGAACACACAGCCATGAGCGAATTCCACACATCGCTGTCGCTCTCCTGCTCTTGGCACAAGAGCGATCTCGCCTCGTCAATCCGGCCGCATCGGCCATATGCATGGATCAGCGCTGCCGCCACCACTGCATCGCATCCGCCGCGCTGGAGAAATATTTCGTGAATCCCCCGGATCTCGCTCGCCGCGTTCTTGATCTGCGAGCACGGACCTAGAACCGAGCTGAGGGTGAAATCGTCCGGCAAGATCCCTTGGAACTGCATCCGCCGGAAGCAATCCATGGCCTCGTCGAAATGCCCGTGGCGGGCAAATGCCGCGATGGCGATGTTCCAGGAGAAGATGTTCTTGGCGGCTATGGCGGCGAAGCACGACACCGCATCCTCGAGGCTGCCGCATCTGGCGTACATTTCCACGAGGAGATTGGCGATGAATGTGTTGGTGGTGTGGCCATCGTGATCGATTAGGGCGTGGAGCTTCCTGCCATCGTCAAGGCTGTGGCACTGCTTCACCAGGCAGCCATAGCCATAGATCAAGGCGTCGTGCATGACATTGCCCTAAAAGGGATTTGAGAAGGTATTTAATTAGAACTGCTTTGCGCATTTTTTGCCATTTTATACAGAGCCTTCACACAAATCTACGTAGTCCTATTTATGAGTATATATTAAACTTAAAGTAAAATAAAACAGTGTATTAAACTCCTTTGTTAAACCTTGAACGGAGAGTTTTTATGTGATCTCGATCATAATCATCAAACATGACCCACTCCTCCATATTTTCTAAAGATTCCCTGTGCTCCTCGTGCTTCTTCTCCATATCCTCCTGCAGAAAGTCCAACGTTTTCAGCATCCAAGCCCCGCTCAGGTCAACCACCATCTTCCCAAATGGAATGGAGAACATTTGCATGTATTCTTCTCGTTGATCAAGAACACTCTCCACTGCATTGTAACAAAGGTGAACATACGGCAGAACGATTGGACGTGGCAAGTCGTCGTCAGCTTGTGGTGATGCAATCCGTGGTTCCCAAGTCATCATCTTGTAATTCCAACAAGGACCCGCGGTAGCCCTAGACCTTGGCTTGAACGGCAGCTCATCTTCTATTCCATGATCACACATCTCCATCTCCCAGCCAAAGTTCTTGTTGAGGAAACCAGACAGCAGATGTTTATTGTCGTCATCGTCGTCGTCGTCATCCTCACTGAGTTCCCAGAGCATTGCACGCCGCAGCTTGGAGATGCTATATCCGTAAGAATCCTGGGCATTCTTAAAGTGCTCCAGGAGAACACCCGCTTCCGCCATCGCCATAAACGCCATGAACCAGTTGTAGCTCCCAAGCCTGGCCGAAAGAAAAGCATCCCTCGCCTTCTCATACACCGATAAACAACACAGGTAATCAACAGTGGGCGGCTCCGTCGAACCAACAACCACAAAACTAGCTTCATCAGATGCGTCAACTTTGGGCTGATCTTCCAGGCGAGGGGCCAAACAATCCCTGTTGCTTTCGAGAGGATCATAAATAAAAGTCTTCCCCATAGCTGGATCACTGCCAATCTTGGTGAGGATACGCTCATATGTTATGAGATCCCAATCTTGGCTGTCAGCCGGCAATTCGAGTGCGGTTTGCATCCTAAGACCACTCCAAATCTCATCGGTAGTCTTCCCCGTTTTTTTCCCATACCAAACCAGAGCAACCCGCATCCTGTGAGTTAATCTCATAGCTAAAACCTCTAGCAAATCAATGATAATCTGCATAGGCGACGTGTGCATATCGAGGAAACTCATCGCGGCCATGCTTACTTAATCCCTAGGTAAGGATTTTACACCTTAAATTTTTATAGACACAGCTTCTGAGCCATATATGGACTTTGTTCAAATTTGGTAGTTAAGAATTTGGACATTTCCTGCTAAGGTCGGGATCTTAGAAAGAAATCGACGAAGCTCCTGGAGGATTTCATCGAAGTAGTAGAACCAGTTCTCTCTTGATCCTGTAGACCACCTTATTCTTGCGACACCATGGACGTTCGTAATCTCGATTTCTCCCTCTAGTTTGGATTGCCAATTGCTACGGCTTCCCGAGCTGGGAACAGTCTGGCTGATGGATCATCGAGAAAGCAGCCCAGGAGTCTTCAGCTGGCGCCTCCATACCGAGACGCGTACTATAGCTTCGCGAAGGACACTGGTATAATCTGCCATTTGGAAGCTTGGTCTCTGGACGAACTGGAGCAGTGCAACCGAGGTCTGGGTTTTGGATTGAACAGGAGAGCTCGATTCAAAGTCTGTGGTGGCTTGCCAGGCCTCGTTGTCAAGCCGTGCGTGAAAGATTTGAAGCCTCATGTCCGAGCTGCAGTGGCGGAGGTGGCGGATTCTGCTGTATGTTGCGATGTATTCGCGGACGAGATCAAACACCTCAAGCTAGTCCAGGAATCCGGGTGTAAGCTTGAAGATTGGATCCGACTACATCGCAAAGCAAGTTTTCAAGAGCAAGAACGGAGCAAAAGTCGTGAGGTTTCTACGCTTCTGCGAAGACCGCCCCTCCGTCGCCGCTCTCGTGGATCCATGCTGGAAAGCATAGTTTGAAGAGTAGCTTCGAGCAAACGAGAAAACTTTGGTCGATCAATCCTCCGCGTTCGCCACACCAGCGTGCATGTTGGAGAGCAGAGCATACGGAGCCATGGCGTTGGAATCCATCTCCCGGAGCTTTCGAGCAGCTCGAGCAGCGCGTCTCTCGTCTCCAATCTCCTTGCAAGCGCTGAGCAAAGTCGTCCATGCCACAACATCCGGCTCGAAAGGCATGCTTGTCACCAGATCCTCCAGCAGCTCGAGCTTCCCCGATCGTCCCAGAAGATCCATCACGCAAAGGTAGTGAGCCAGCGAAAGCTCCAGATCGTAGTCCCAAGCCATTCGCACGACGTGAATCCATCCATCGCCTTCCACTCCGCCATGGCTGCAAGCCGAGAGAACACTCACGATCGTCACGCAGTCGGGGAGGATCCCGGCGAGCAGCATCTCGCGGAAGATCGCCAGAGCTTCCGGGAGATGGCCATTGTGAGCATACGACGTGATCAGCGCTGTCCAGAGTATCACGTCCTGGATCGGGAGCTCCGAGAAGATCAACCGAGCGGTCTCGAGCTGGCCACACTTGCCGTAGAAATCGACGAGAGCGCTCCCGATTCGCAAGTCCCTGCTCAGCCCCCGATCCAAAACGCTCTCGTGGATGATCCTGCCCTCGGCAACCGCGGCCGCGCTCGAGCACGCATCCAGGACCGCGACGTAGGTCATCTCCTCGGCTCGAAACCCCTCGAGATCCATCCGGAGGAACAGACGAAGCGACTCTCTCCCGTTGTTCTTGCCGTAGGCCGAGATCAACACCGACCAAGTCACCGAATTCCTCTCGGGCATCTCGTCGAAGATCGCTCGCGCAACAGCAAGATCCCCGAGCTGAGCATACGCGTCCACCATCGTCGTCGAGGTGATGATGTCTCGCATGGGAATCCCCTCAAACATCTCACTCGCGCGATCGATCTCGCCAGCCTCGGCGTACGCCTGGATCATCGCATTCCAGGGAGCCTCACTCCGGTGCTTCATCCAATGAAAGATCTCTCTCGCCTTACAAAGATCTCCTCGTTGGGCAAAGGCTGCGAGCATGGTTGTCCAGGAGATAAGATCCCACCCGGGAGCTCTTCTTAGCACGGCCATCGCAGCATCCACCATCGCCACCTGAGCGTAGATCACCACTACAGTGTTCCAGGACACCAAGTTCCTCTCCTCCATCGTCTCAAACAGTCTCCGAGCCGATCGAAAATCCCCTCTCTGGCCAAGAGCTCGGATCATCGCCGTCCGGGAGACGAGATTGTGCTGCGGCATCGCCTGGAACATCGTCCCAGCCTCACGGATCCGACCACTCTGAGAGAACGCCGCCATGACGATCGTCCATGACACCACATTCTTCCTCCGCGAGAGCTCAAAGATCCGCCGAGCCTCTTGCAGTTGCCCCTTGTTGGCATATGCTGCCATGACCATGTTCCACGAGAAAACACCCGGCTCGAGAAGTCTCGCCAGCACTGACTCGGCGTCCGCGCCAGATCCACCACAAGCCGCATACATCTGGAGCAGCAAATTCCCGAGAAAGCATCCCCGATCCAGCCCGTGGCTGGCGATGTGATCGTGCACAACCCTGCCGACACCCAGCGGTGCCCGTGAATCGATGCATTGCCGCAGGATGGAGCTGTAGATCGAGCAAGTCTGTGGTTGATCTTGGAGCTCCAGCAGCTGCCTCACAGATCCATCCAAACTTTGAGGTAGCCTTCTCATAATCCATGATATTAGCCGGATAGCTGAATTTATGAATTTAACTCATGTCGATATGTCAATAGAAGTATTATTGACTTTCATTGACTGAGTTGACTCTTTCTCTCATTCTTTCATCCCAGACAATATTCCCGCAGCAATTCACAGTATCATCAGTATCCAGGGCATCCTCACTCTGCTGTGTCGTCGTCCCGCTCCCGTCCAAGAGATGCCTGGACGGGAGGCTATCCCTGCCCTATCGGCTGAGGCACCCCACTGATACTGCTTCACGACGTGCTGATACCAGGAGCCACCACTCCCTCGCGTTCACCGCCGCCACGCCGACACCACCATTTCCGCTCGCCTCCACAGCCAACCATGCACGACCAAGGTTCTGACGACAAGGCCAAGGTGAGTCGATAGGAGGCAGTGATGACGATCTCCAATTGGCTCGCACAAGCTGCCAGCACGATGACTGGAGAAGAATGGTGCAAAACCTTTGGAAGCAGCCGTGTCCCCCTAGATCTGTCCCGCTGCAAGGTAGAGCCTTCCAAGGCTTCCCAGATCTACTCATTCATTCCCCCGGAGGAACCCGGGAGCACTATTGCTCAAAGTGGACGTCCCAGGAAACATCGATTCAGAGGACTTTGCCAAATTCCTAATCACCCAATTTCACTGCAAAAAATTCCAGATTCATCTGGCAGGACATTTCTGGTGTGCTTCTGGTACGAAAGTGACCTGCTCGTTTCACAAGGGTCGAGAAAAGTTAAAGGATGGCACCAAAGCAGACTTCTTCCCAATTCGCCTCCAAGAGTCCACCCAATCCAAAGATGGTGATACGGAACTGGTGGATGCGGACACCACTCGCGAGATAATGGCGGAGAGTAACGTGCGGAGTGGCAACTATACAAGCTCCACTCGCGGAACCTCTTCCCCATGAAACTATCTAACCTCAACGTTCCAAACGACGAAGATGTGTCCACCGCAGTCAAACGCGTCTGGAACTTCAGGGAGAACTACAACGAAGTGGAGCCACGCAAACGAACCTCCAACAAGAACATTGGGGAATTTCTAAACAACGCAAGTTTCTTTTACTACCTAGGTATATTTTGGCTGTGGAGACTCAGGAGCTTATGAAGGATGTGTGGTGTATGAACTATGTGGTGAGCATATGCATTCGGGTTACTTCGATGCTGGCAACACTCGCTACTTTCCAGCGGCATAAATCCGAATGCTCGAGGAGCTGGGCAGGAGGACCGGGTAAGCATTTCGATCGCTCCGAGACACACCCTTTTACAATGTGTGTGAATCTAGACGACGAGCAAAGCCGGCCAATGTGGATTTGGAGGAACATCTCATGAAATTTGGCCACTAAAACATTTAGGGCGAGCGCTGATTAAGATTTTGCTAAGTGCAAGTAACAAAATGAAAGCGCTGCCACGTCACTGCCAGGTAAGCGAAGAGAGAGTGAATCAGGATAGCATATCTTCTTGCCAGACATTTAAATACAAAATTATAGCAATCGATGCAAATTTGTGCTGTAATCTCAGAATTTACTGTGTGCCAGGAGGTATAAATGGAAGATTGGACACATTATATACTTCTGTTTTGGGTCTTCTCACTGCAGAAATCTTTACCTTGGGAGGCGCGTTGAAGATTTTGACATGAGAAAACTTTTGCAAAAGTAAACAAGATAGACACATCTTCGTACAAGTATATCCTTGGTATATCACTTCTCGTACATGGACAAAGGATTCAAGACTGGCGTTTTCAAGTATGCTGTGGTCATGGCAGCAGGAGACTTGCCTCCTTCGATCACTTTAATCATCAATAATATTCATGATTTCTCAGTAAGAAGGAATTTTAAGTCCTAGCTGAGCAGCGGGTGTTCAGTAAGCGCCAGCGTCTCTGTTCCTGCAATGGCCGGCGAGATCGAAGAGTTTTATGACGAGGGATGCGTGGTGTATGAGGCTGTGTGGGGCGAGCATATGCACTCGGGCTACTTTGAGGCGGGCAAGCCTGGGGACTTTCGAGTGGCACAAGTCCGAATGATCGAGGAGGTCCTCTCTTGGGCCGGAGTACCAAGTAAGCTTTTGGTCATGGTATCCCTCTCTATTCTATTACAATCTCCTAGATGATGAGCAAAGCCGTCCTCGAGACATACTGGACGTGGGCTGCGGTTTTGGGGGAACTTCTCGATATCTGTTCAAGAAGTACTCGGCAAATGTGAAAGGAATAGCACTGAGCGATTACGAGATCGCCAGAGCCAAAGCCATCGCGAGGGAGGAAGGAGTTTCAGACAAGGTAGATTCCACTCGGTTGTTTGGGGCGGTTTCTAACACTTGAGAACAGGTGACATTCCAAGTAGCAAATGCACTGAATCAACCGTTCGAAGACGGCCAGTTTGATCTCGTCTGGTGCATGGAATGCGCAGTGCACATTGAGGACAAACTCAAGGTAGAAGAATTCATAATCTTTTCATCTGAGTTTGTTTAAATTCCCGCACGCGATTGCAGCTTATGCAAGAGATGGCACGCGTGACCAAGCCCGGAGGTCGGGTGGTGCTTGTGAGCTGGTGCCACAGAGAACTGAAGCCTGGAGAAACTTCACTCAAGAAGCATGAGCAAGTAAGCCAAGTTCCTAGATATTTCTTGATCTCTTAAAAAGATTGTCATAACATATGGCTGCAGGCGCTCTTGGATAAGATCTGTGCTGCTTACTTCTTTCCACCCTGGTGCGCCACTTCTGAGTACGAAACATTAGCACGCAATGCGGGCTTGCAAGTAAGAGTTCGGTTTCTTCAATGTTTTTCGACTCTATGGCTGATCTTATGTATTATCTTATCTGTAGGAAGTAAAGGTGGAAGATTGGACTCGACACATGCTTCCATTCTGGGGAATGCTCACGGGCCAGCTCTTTACATTGGGAGGTGCATTCAAGCTCCTGACATCAGGTACATAAAGATCTTGTTACGCAACTTTGGTTTCTTGTTTTTATTTCTTGCTTTCCAGGGTGGGCGCATATGCGGACAAGTCTGTCATTGGCTTATCACTTCTTCTACATGGACAAAGGATTCAAGAATGGCATTTTCAAGTATGCTGTGGTGATGGGACAGAAAGAGCTGTGATCATAAGGGAGCATTGGATTCCATAAGCATTGGTTCTGTTTTTCTTTTTAAATAAAAATTTCCTGGTATTTAATATTATAAAGATCTTTCATCCAAATTTATGAAGAAGGTATGCAGTCCTTGTAGAAATTAGATTGTGTTTACAATCCAACCAGCCTGCCCATCTTACAATCTGCTCGACCACCCATCTCTAGACTACACCGACGAGGGAGATGACCAATCAGGGCCGCCACCATCTCGCGAGGCACCAAAAACGCCACGACACAACTCTCAAGCAGCAAGGAAGGTCCCAATAGGCGCTAGGCGGCGAAAACATGGAACAAGATGCTTAGAGTTAGAGCGTGTTGCATTTGTGGACTTTCTCCTTGTTCTTTGTTCTATCAGAAATCACTTAAAATTCTGTCCCATCTCTCGCTCAATGATTATGGGACACCATAATGGACTCTCCAGGGCTCACTGCTAGCATGGAACGACCGCGTCTAAGCATCTTGTTCTGGAATGCAACAGAATTCCCGACTCACTCCGGTCTCGGTTTTTTTATGTATCAGATGCACGACGTGATATGTATAGCAGAAACATGGGAAACGGATCACCATGGACTGCCACAATACCAAGGTTACGTGGCACAAGGAAGAGGATCCGCAAGGGAGGGGCTCTGGGTGTGGTAATATACTCGAGGGACACTACTCTACCAGATGCACAGCTCCTCTGCCGAGACGTGAACAATCACTTCTTGGCCATACGACTCAAGGCCAATGCCTCGATGATCTTTGCCTGTTACTTCCGTCTGACATGGTCGATTGTGTTGATTGTTACTTTCGTACTAAATGATGTACGGCTGGTACATGTTATCATATTTTAACCTTGTCATGTAGAAAGGGTGCAAGTATTTCAATGAATTCAGCCTTCTTCAATTTTTTGTGAACCGCTGGATCCATCCCGTAATCCTTCGCAATTGTCTCCAACTTCTCCCTTGTTGAATAGTCAAGGATTTCCTCCAAGAGTGACTTAGGAACTGATACAGTGGTTGCTACTGCTCCTCCTGTGGCGAGTGCCAAAGGCTCTCGCATCCTTGTGAGTTGCTCGAGCTTTTCCCCGAGGCTGTCTTGGAAGGTGTGGCGAAAAGCATCCTGAAACGTGACTGTATGAACTGTGTGTCCAGCCATGCCGTAGTATTTCCCACTTGGAAGACGCTTAATCACTGGATCCACGGAGACTGGGGCGGACTGGTTCAAGCAGACAAATGTAAAATGCAACGTCCAGTCGTCCTTGGGCTCCCATGCCGATGACTTCTCCTCAAAAGCTATCCATTTCTCCACCACTCCAAGATTCATGAACTCCCCAACACTGCGCCTGTGGGATTTGTCATTCGTTGTAGCCTGTAGAGCAAAGAAATGCAGCCTGCCTTGTGAATCCCTGAACCCAAGAGCCCCGTCAATAGCATGCAAGTTCCACTGGAATGGAAGGAAGAAAATTCCATCCACCACCTTGTTCTGAATGTCGCCAATCCAAGCTGCATAGTTCGGAGGAGAAGAAAATGGCAAGACTCTGATGTTGCCTTGGATATGGATGTCGTCTACAACCATACCACCACAGTGCGTGAGCGCGTCCGAGAACAAATGTTCACATAGCCAGCCCATCTCGTTCCAGTTGATACCCGTGGGATTCCTCAGCAGATAGTCGCAATATGGAACCCATGCACCACCATTGAAACTGCCTCGCTCGGCTTCCCTGAAACCTTCGATGTGCAACCTCTTGACATACGGAGTGCAGTAGTCCTTCACGTGCCGCTGGCTGTCCAGTAGCACATATCTCCTATCCGCTTGCATCATTTGGCTCAAGTTATAAACTCCGCTTAAACCGCACCGACGCACCACGCTTGCACAGTCACTGGCAATGGTTGACAAAGAACTTGAACACATGAACAGCTGCAGAACCGCATCCCAGTCCTCTCGGTCTCGGAGACACTCAAGGGTCTCTGAATTATCTGGAGGTTTCACCGCATCCGGAAAGCCACCCAATTTTCTTTTCTTCGTCGGTTGCGGATTGATACGAGCAGCGTAGTTTTTGCATGCTTCGTCCAGAGTGGAAAGGAAGAGCGGATGGTTGCCCCCGTAGATATCAACTTCTTCTTTCCACTCGGGACAGAGGCTGCCAAGGACGGACTGATCCATGAAGGCTTTATAAGAGGCCTACATACACAAAAGTTTAGAGAACCACAGAAACTGTGAAACACAAGCAGAACTTACATCTTTAAACCCCAACGACATGTGGTACTGGCTTTGCTGCAGGGAGCGGTCACCAATGTCTGTTGCAGCTGGAGAGACACCATATATGCAACAACGTCCAAGCCTGACAACTCTACACAACAGTGCTTTCATTTGATTCCTGTGTTCCATTTCTTCGCCGTTTGATCGCACTCTATCAAGCGACTCTGCACGATCGATGACGAAATAGAAAACTTCCCCGCTGCGGTGCCGCCTGTCGGAAAGGAAATTACACACCTCCTGTACAGAAGTCAGCTGCGAAATCGTCCTGCACGCTGCCTCGTCCTCACAGTACGCAAATAACAGCGCGTTCCGCAGAGCTTCCATGTGATTGTAGAGCGCCCATTTCATGTCCCAAATGCAGATGATCTTCTCGTTCTCCTCGCTCTGGTTAATGAGAGCGGCAGCTATCGCACGCAGTGTGCAGCTCTTGCCAATGCCTTTGGCTCCGGTCACGTAGATTGGCGCTCCCACTTCATGCATCTCCAATAGTTTCCTCACTGCTTCCCTGCCAATGAACTTGATCTCCCCTCCTGGTCGCAAACCTACTGGACCTATGCCAGGATAGGGGATTACCGTCACAGCATCGGGCTTCACCAAATCTTCACACTTGAATTCTGCCGACTTCAGGGTCTTGTACGCAACTCGGCCTTCCCCAAAAGTGACGATTCCGACCACTGCCGCATCCGCCATTGTCGACAAGGCAACCGTTGAAAAACTATATACTAACCTATAGCTAAAGAAAGATATTGAGCTTCTATAAATTTTCACCTGCTGGATCTATGGCTATGGCTGCCTAGTGAAGCCTTGGCGATGGCAGGAAGCTCCACGCCCTAATAGATCACGATGGCCACACCACCAACACATTCATCGCCAATCTCCTACTGGAAATGTACGCCAGATGCGGCAGCCTCGAGGATGGTGTCGTGCTTGGCCGCCATAGCCGCCAAGAACAGCGCCATCGCGGCATTTGCCCGCCACGGGCATTTCGACGAGGCCATGGATTGCTTCGCGGCGCTGATCCATGCGTATGGCCGATGAGGCTGGATTGACGAGGCGAGATCGCTCTCGTGCCAAGAGCAGGAGATCGACAGCGATGTGTGGAATTCGCTCATGGCTGTGTGTTCTTGGAATGGGGAGGGGAGAAGGGGCTTGGAGATTTTTTCTGGAGGATGCATCAGATGGGAGTGAGGCCGGATGGATTTAGCTTCAGCACAGCGATTGGCGCGTGCACGGCGATCGGCGTCTGGATCGAGAGAATGAGATCCTCGCCCGAGATGCTTGCAAAGAGCGGGAAAATTCAAGAAGCCTGTAGCGTCTTCCAGCACGTGAGAATCGGACGTGAACTTATCTTGGGAACGCGACGATCGCGGCGCTAGCGCAGGGTAGCAGAATCGGTGCTGCGCTCCGGCTCTTCGAGATGAAGCGTCCAGATGCCGTTTCCTGGACGACGCCGCGAGGAGGAGGCGTTCCAGCTCTTGTGCAGGATGGATTTGGAAGGTGTGAAGCCAGACAGAGTCACATTCGTCGCGATCGTGAATGCCTGCTCTGATTCCTTGAGTAGCGTCCGGGAAATCCACTCCAGGATTGTTGGATCGGGCTTTTCATCCTTCTTGGAGATCAAGAACGCTTCTCGAGAAGATCGATCTGGCCTCCTGGAGACCACTGCATTGGGAATATTTCGCAGCGGCCAGCACAGGGACGTGATCTCGTGGAGCTCCATGATAGAATCGTGCGCCCACCACGGCCGCGGCGAAGAATCCCTCGCTCTCTTCCGCCGGATGCAGCAAGAAGGCGTCGATTCAAACGCTATCACCTTCTTGAGCATTCTCTCTGCGCGCCGGCAATCTGGATTCCTGGACGGAGGAGGCGCTGGGTTGCGTGGGAGCGATGGAGGCGTCCTGGGCAAGAAGGCCGCCGCGCTTGCGCCGTGGATCTTCTTGGAAGAGCTGGGCGGTTGAAAGAGGCCGAGAATCTCATCACCGCTGATGGGGAAGTGTCGTCCGGACGAAGCTGGAGCAGCAAGAACACATCTTTTTTCACGAAGAACTTATGCGCAAGCTTACCTGTCATGGATACTTGTCAGCGAACCAAGGTCCGGAACAAGCACTCTCTCGTCCTTCTCTTCCGCTCCAGCCCAGTAAGAGATGTTCCCAAGTTTCTAAAGAACAAACAAAGAGATCATGAGAGGAAGCTAAGAAGGGTATTTAGCAAGAAGGGTTTAGCAAGAAGGGCTGGTTCAGCAAAGAAGATGCAGGGAAAGGGAGATCTGGTTTTGTATGTGACAGTGAACACTGCATAGTTGAGTAGAGAGTTTTGTGATGGGCTTGCCATGGAACATCATCTCTTCCCAGACGAGGTAATTGATGCAATCATTGATAGGGCAACGTTCTCGAGTGCATGGACGTTTTTCAAGCGCACGGGCAGGGGGCATAATAGGATGGCAAGGAGGTTCCTCAAAGAAAAATTGCCATTGCAAGCTCTGGACACTCTGGATGAGACTTGTGATCAAGACACGTTTGAAGAGGTGCTTAGTTATCCCTATGACATCTTCGACTTGTCACTTGAACAGCTCATTGAAAAGATGGACATCACGAGGAAGAAAGGTTACAAATGTGGACCCAAGGTCCTTTTGAACGTGCTTACCTTGCTATCAAAGTGCAATCTGGGGAAGATGTACAGCAGTTATATGCAAAGTCTCTTCTTTGACATGATTCGGGAACACCCAATGTTAGTGGCAAAACAAGAGTTCAGCCAAGTTGTCCTGGATAATAACCTGGACAATTCCATGCTTATTAAGCAGTTGATTTGCAAGGAGGCATTCACATTAAATGGTATGGTGGATCCAGAACTATTGATCAGCACATGCGGTTGCAAAGTTGACAGATATGGCTGGAGAGAAACTCTCCATTTGTTGCTTGAGATGGTTGAACCAGAACGAGCATATCAATCAGCTTTGGATGCAGCCACAGGTGATGAAGTTGTATTCTCTATCATAAGAGAAGCCATGCATGCTAAAGTGATTGTGGATCCAACTGAAGCACTACTATTTACTTGTAGCAGGGATATTTCAGCAAAAAAAGAGCCTTTAGCATCTGGCTTGAAGGCTGGTCTGCTCAAGTTAAACGATTATATCATATCCCAGATGATTCCAATGGATGCCGAGGCTGTTATGTTGTTTGAGCTAGCAGGCAAAGGTTCCTACCCTTTGCCTGAATCTCTACGAAGTGTGCTAGATATGCAGTGTAATATTGGAGTGACGTTGCTATTCGAGGCATGGTGCAACCTAGAGAAAGCTGATAAGGAGACGTGTCTCAAGCTGGCGGAGAGACTAACAGCGGAAGTATTGCCAAGAGAAGCTCTGTTTATATTGAATACACACCTCAAATTTGACAAGTCACCCGAAGTAGCCGAAGCTGTGAAAGCAGCAAGTGAAATGGAAGCTACTGTAGCTAGTTTATTTGATGAAAGAAGGCACTATCCTTATTGTGTGACTTAACATGGGTGACAAAAAAATATGAAACGCTTCTTCCAATATAAATTTTTATATTAGTTTAAAAATAATAAATATTTATTTTACCTTTAGTGCCATATATACTCTTGAAAATAGCTTTTATAAAAAGTACACCAATAATAGTATCAACAAAATGCTTAAAGGTTCCACCTGGTATGCACTAATGAATCACTATATATTGTATACAAGTAGAATGACAATCTATACCTCTAAATACCTATTGTCCAGGTACTCTTCTTCCACAGTTAACTTACACTTACCAGATTTCACTTCATCAATTTGCCAGGCAATCTTTTGAGTTTTCTCTGTAAACTAATAGAACAAATGTCATTAACTTGATGATGGTGCTCTTGTCTTCTCTAGAGCAAGTCACTAATTGTTTTTCTCTCACACTAAAGCTTGAAAATTCTATCTTAAAATTAAATAAATAATTTTTGTAAATAGGTTTACTAGTTCTAAGTTATTAAAAATTGATTACAAATAACTTAAATAATTTACTGTGCTGTGCAGCATATTTGATTTTTATGAATTTATAATATTTTAATAAATAAGGGGGTGGGGGGGGGGGGGGGGGGGGGAGAGAGAGAGAGAGAGAGAGAGCGCATAATATACTAATTATAATAGTATAGTATATGGATGATCTATTGAATTGAATTTAATCCATTCATTCATGTATATAAGCAGGGGTCTACACCTTAACATACTTATTCCCATATCCTGAATATTCACATTTGAGTTGAGGGGCAATGCAAATTATCTTTGGAAGGCAAAGTCTTATATTAGTGATTTGCTTAGTGTTTAGGATTGTGTTTTTGTTCTTATTCTTTTGTTCTCTTTTAGATTTAGATTTGTATTCTCTTTCACTAGATTTAATATTGTATTTTTCCTTTAATTTTCATTGCATTCCCTTCTTCCACCATGTTATGTCATCATTGATTGAAGGGTATATCATTTAAGGTTATAATGGATGTCATTATTGTCATATGGCAATGTTATTTCTACTACTATATCCTCTTTAGATTGATTTTTTGATAATGTGAGGTATGATCTTATTAATGCTTCTCGGTGTGTTTCCATTTTCAACTTATGTGAGGTATAATTACATGACTTCTATTCTTAGTGTTTTACCATCTTCTGTTAATATAATGTCAATTGGAGAAGCACAGATAATGCAATTCAATTCTTGGAGAGTATTTAAAGATTAAGCTTATAGGAAGACAATATTCACAAGCTTGAGTGGATTCCCATTAACAAAAAATTTGATTATTTGAAGATAACTTTAGAGACAAATTAAAGATTTCATGAGGTAGGTGTCCATCCTTCAATTTGCCATCTAAAGTATTGGTAGCAAAAGCAGAAAGAGCTACACTATATGCTATGAATGCCAAAATCAACTAAGTATTATTAATTAATTACAACTACATAGCATTAAGCAACTACACCAATTATTGCTCAAGGAGTATGTTATTCTATGATGAAAATGAGCTGTGCAATTTAGTTCTTGGATCTTATAGGAAAACGATGTTTACAAGTTTGAATAGATTTTTACTAATAAAGAATTTAAAGTTTAAGGATAACTTTGAAGATAAATAAAAATTTCATGGGGTATATGTTTATCCTTGAATTTACCATCTAAAGATTGGTAGTAAGACCAAGAGGAACTACATTATATGTTATGAATACTATTATTAACTTAGTCTAATTAGTAAGTTGCAACCATATAGCATCTAGTAAGTGTAACAATTGCTACTTTATAGTTAAAGAAAGAGTATGTTGCTTTGCCATGAATATAAGTTATAGATAATCCTTCAATCTGCCATTTAATCTTTCCTCTTTGCCTTTTACTTTTTCCCATTTCTTTTGTTATTTCCCGGTCTTTATTATTCTTAGGTTTTTAGTGTTTTTTTCCTCATTTGCAAAACTTTTTTTTATTGGTACATTAGTTTGGACTTCCAAGAGGTCATCCAACTCTGTACTTCTCAAATCAAAATATCCTAAAACCCTTAACTATTTGGAAAAGGAGGTGTATTTTTATTTATAGGCCCTTTCTCTTTATATTTAAACTTTTATAAATTATCTTTTAAGTCATTCTCTTTAATTACTTATAATTTATCATATTTCCTTACAAGTTCACACTCTTGTGAAAAGAAGTTAAGAGTTGCATTTCTTTTGACAACCCCACTCTTTTAATACCTTATAAAATATAAGTTTTTTAAATTTAACCTCCTAGGACATTCCCTTTAGTTATTTATAATCCATCATATTTCCTTACAAATTCATGCCTTTCTAAATAGAAATTAAGAGTTATAATTCTTTTGACAACCCCAATCTCTTAATACTCTACCCTTTGGGTAAGTTTTTTAAATTTGGATTTCCTAAAAAATCACCCAATTTAGTACTATTTAAACCCAAGGACATATAACTTTAAAGATCCCAAATATAAACTTTTTAAGTTTGAATCTCTTAGGTGGTCACCCAACTTAGTATTATTTAAACCCAAAGATGTTTAACTTGAAATATCCCAAATATAAACTCTTAAGTTTAAACTTCATACCTAGTACTAAAGACATTTAACTTTAAGTATTCTAAGACCTTTAACTAATTAAAAAGGGGGGGTGCACTTTTATTTATAGGCTTTTTTTCTCTATATAAATTTTTATGGATTGTTTCTTTAGCTATTCCTTTTGATTATTTAAATTTTTAGTAAGTTATTTTTGAGAAAAATTAAATTTATTATATTATTATTAAATATTATTTTTAATTTGAAAAATGTAAGCTCATAAATTTAGACTTCCTATGAAGTTACCTAGCTTACTACTACTCAAACTCAAGGATGTTTAACCTCAAATATCCTAAAACCCTTAACTAATTCAAAAAAAGAATGCACTTTTATTTATGGGCCCTTTCTCTTTATATTTAAGCCATTATATTTAAACTCTAATGAATCATCTCTTAAATCATTCTTTTTAATTGTTTACACTATCATCTTTTATACCATCTACACTTAAATGCTTATTTTCAAGGTTCTAAGATGGATAGGAAGATGGGCAACCTCCTCTTCTTATTAGCATCCTTGACAATGTCTTATTTACTACCATTATTTATAGTTATAGTTTATAACCACTTCATTGTATCTTTAATCCTCAAGAAATCATAATATTGCAGAGAATTGGAGTAGTGTAAGGAACTAACTCCCTAAGGTGTCGTAGGCTAAAGGATCCCCAAAAGCACGATTGAAATGATAAAGAGTTTATCGAATGGGACCGAATCCTAGATCAAGTCCAAGACTGACTCTGAAACCGAGTTCGAAATAAAGTCTGGGATCCAATCTGAGGCCGACTCCAAGACCGAGTTTGAGACCGAGTTCAAGATAGAGTTCGAGATCTGAGATCGGGTTCGAGACCGAGTCCAAGGTTGAGTCCGAGGTCGAGTTTGAGATCGAGTCCG